ATGTGGGAGTTTCCGAAGATTAGGGGTACCATAATTTGGGGTCCTTATAATAAGGATCCTACTATATTGGGGTACTATATTAGGGTCCCCTATTTTCGGAAACTCCCATGTCTGGCGAAGGCAGCTGCTTGGGTTTTGGGCTTCCGTATCTCCCGCAATGTTTGGGACGGGCTCTTCCTGTAAGTGTAAGGCTTCCAAGTTGAGTATGCTTTCTCCGAGAACTTTTTCATAACGGCGCCACGAACAGCCACCTCTACAAAGGCATCGAAGTGGTCATCAAATTATGTCGCCTGATCTATAAAAGGTGTATGTATGTATATATATATATATATACATATGTATATACATATATATATATATATATATATATATATACATGACATATATATATATATATATATACACATAACAATATATATATATATATATATATATATATATATATCCTGAACCAAACTGCATCGAAGAACTGCTGCGGGCCTGCAGCGACGCATCCAGTGCAACCAAAGGCGAGAAGCCGGCTGCACACCGCGGACCTTGGTTGCTGGGACTCTGCAACGAACCGTGCCCTGTTGACCATTTCAAGGTATGGCGACTGCAGCATTGGAGCTTTGCTGCAGCGAGCAACCGAAGGTGTTCGCAGTGGGTGTAGTTGAAAACTTCCAAGGTCAAAACTTCCAGTGTGACGCATCACTGCAGTAAAGGCAAGTTTTCTTTTTCTATAACGAGGGCATCTAACGACCTGGCAGCGAATTAACCGCTTGCAGTGGTGCCAGCCAACACATTGCCAACCGCCTGTTTGTGACCTGTCTGGATGATCGCTGATATTCAAAAAAAAAAAGCTTCCACAGGCCGTCTGAGCCAAGCAAGAACACAACGAAAAACGCGCCACACCCCTTTTGCATACCTCCAGGAAGCGCGACTCATGACCTCAAGCAGGTTAGATCGCATCGCACCCCAAACTTCTCTACAAGAAACTCGAACAGTTCGAGTGGCCATGCTGCGTAACTTAATATTCTCAAAGAGCTCTGTGTAAATCTGTAATACAAGAACACAATGGCATACCCCAGAAGACTCATCATCGAAGAGCAGCAGGCTCCAGGGCGCAAGCTGCAAAGAGTCCCATGCTCCAGAAGAGCACCCTGTCAAAAACAACACATGACACGATTGGCTGCAAGGCACAATGCTACTTGGCAAGATGGGATGATACAGAAACAGATACAGATGAAAAGAGATGAGATACTAGTAGGATAGGATAGGAACAGACACCGTAAGATAGGCGAAGCCTTGGTATATCTTGGTATAGTATACGACTTTATCGTTGTCGCCATGGTCGTGGTGGTGGTGGTGGTGGTGGTGGTGGTGGTGGTGGTGGTGGTAGATGTACCACCACGACCACTACTACTACTACTACTACTACTACTACTACTACTACTACTACTACTACTACTACTACTACTACTACTACTACTACCACGACGACGACGACTACTACCACTACTGCTACTACTACTACTACTACTCCTACTCCTACTCCTACTGCCACTGTCACTGCCACGGCTGCGACTACTCGTACTTATTACTGCTGCTGCGACGGTGCCGACGACGACGACGACGACGGGGACTTCGACTGCCACGACGACGATCACCACCACGACCATCAACACCACCACTACCACTACGACTGCTCCTACTCATCCCGGCTACGACTTTAATTTGGATGCTTGGGCATCACTTATGCGAATCACTGGTGCAAAATCAACTATAGGTATGACTCTAAACTTTACTCTCACGGTTTTGCGTCTTGTGCCTGTCCTTACCTTGTTCAGCTGGCAAGCTTGCAAAACTCTGAGCATCTAGAGGCGGGCCTTACTATGCCTAGCGTTATCTGTATTCTGAAGGACCTGCCTCCCTGAGCCAGGTAAATGACCTCTCGGACTGCAGTTTTTCTCGTGTCGTCAGAAAAGAAACTACCGGAAAACCGCAAGCCTCTGCGCACGATGGCTCCAAAGCGTTGGCCACGCCACTCGGAGCATTGCAGGTCTGGCGCCCAACGGATGGACAGCTTTGAAAGCAGCACGAGTTGTCCACATAGCATACACCCCCGGATACCCTGACCCCCCTGAGTGAGCTGTGACCACTTCTTCGGACTCAGCCCTTGCCGTCCTTGCCGCACGTAAAATTCCGCGGCTCCATCGTCTGAACGAAACACCTGAGCAAAGTCCCCTGGAGCTTTGACCGGTGTGTGATCGAACTTCATTTCGGGATCGAGCAATGCACGATACCTGCGCGCAAGGCCTACTCGAGTGCTGGTCGGATCTAAGGCAGCATGCCTGGAAGTAAACATCACAGCTCCACAGCAAAGCGTATGGAAACCGCGGCAATTAATTAAGATGACCTTCCATCGATACACCGACCCTGATCCTGCCCAAGAACTGCGAGCAGGTCCCACGGTCTGAGAGTGCGACTGCAAGCTCCGTGGCGTTGGGGAGCTTCCCGACCGGCAGCGGGCCGTGCAAGTGCCTCGAACGTGAACTGACGATAGCTGTAAGTTTTATAGCAAGTTGTCGAGCTTCAGCTCTTCAATGGCCTCAGGATTCTGGAAGGATTCACTTGGTCATCCACTGGGGTAGTTTGCTGTCATGGTATGCAGCCTCAAGGCTCACGGGATCTGCGGAGCTTGGGTGTCGTTGGCCGAAGAATTCCCGAGAAACTCCCCGCTCTCGACAAGGCCTCCGTGTGGAATTTGGGCCCCTTCAGCGCAGGATGGCCTTGCCGTGCTGACAGCGCTAGCGATACCAACCCATGCAGCAGGATGATAAGTGATGACAACGAGTGGCGATGACAATAACATTAATTACGTCGTTGATTTTGACAGCCGTGGGCATGATGATACTCATGCTCACGATGATAATGATAGTGATGCCGATGTTGTTGGGGATGATGACGAAGATGACGACGATGAAGATGATGATGATGGCGACGGTCATGACCAGGTGGCAAAGGGAAGATTATGGTAGCGATGAAACCGAAGGGGATGATGACGGCTAGGACTATGTATCATGATGATAGTAATGGCGTTGGCGATCACCGTGGTGGGGTTGCAAGGGGGGGGCTCGAGGTAGTAGCAGTAGTAGGGGCTTAAGTGGTAGAAGTAGCAGTAGCAGTAGTCGTTTGGTCGTAGCAGTCGTGGTCGCAGTAGTCGTGGTAGTCGTAGTCGTCGAAGCCGCATAGTTCGTCACAGTCGTCGTCGTCGTCGTCGTAGCAGTAGCAGTACCAGTAGCAGAGCAGCAGCAGCAGCAGCAGCAGCAGCAGCAACAGGAGCAGCAGCAGCAGCAGCAGCAGCAGCAGAAGGGGGCGGAGGAGAAGTATGGGGAGCAGAAGTAGGAGTAGTGAGAGTTCGGAGGAGCAGGAGTAGCAGTGACAGTCGAAGAGGTAGTAGCAGCTGCATGTGGTAGTAGCAGTGGCAGTGGCAGTGGCAGTAAGCAGTAACAGTAAGCGGTAAGCAGTAGCAGTAACAAGTAGTAGTAGTCGTCGTCGTCGTCGTAGTAACAGTAGCAGTAGCAGTAGCAGTAGCAGGAGCAGTAGCAGGAGCAGTAGCAGGAGCAGTAGTAGTAGTAGTAGTAGTAGTAGAAGAAGCAGCAGCAGTAGTAGTAGTAGGCAGTTGCAGTAGCAGTAGCAGTAGGACTAGTGGTAGTGGTAGTGGTAGAGGTAGTAGGTAGTAGGTAGTAGGTAGTACGTAGTAGGTAGTAGGTAGCAGCAGCGGCAGGAGTAGTAGCAGCAGTAGTAGTTTGAGCAACCAGCAGCAGCACTGGCTGCAGGAGGAGCAAGAGATGCAGCAGTAGGAGTAGTACGGAATGCCTGTAGCAAAGCACTGAGCTTGCAACGTGGCATAGTCCTGTCGGGAAGGGATGTCAAAATGCTACAAACCCTCACATGCATTGGTGCACTGAGCGTTCTGCTTTCGAAAGGCTATACACAACCAGGACTCTGACGCGCCACCATGTCGTCTCGTCACCAACGCACATTGAAATCACCCTGGCTCTCGCTTTTTCTCACGCCTCATATCGGTAGGTGCGGCTCATCCTACTCTGGGTTATGTTGCATGTCGAGGAAACCCAGCGCTGAGGTGCGCCTCACAGAAAGAGTATCGCTGGATCCAGCGGCTGCATCCATGTAGTTGTAGTCAGAGTTGTCCACCAGCATTAGCTGTTGGCTGGGTCTGCCGAGGCCTACGGCCTTACAAGCATACGCCTGATAGGCCGCAAGCACAGCTTCATTCATAAACTAACGTACTTGAAAGTCCTGGCTTCGCTCGGCTACCTTTACAGGCAGCAGACCCATGTCGCTCACGTCCATGCTCCACACCCTCTTCAAAGCTGTGAGGGAGCAGGCAAACGGCGTGGCGCCAAATTGGGACTCAGCGTCTGACCATCCGTCAGACTACAGAGCAACTAATTATGGCAGTCACGGCAGTTGCCGTCATCTGGAGAAATTGAGCCGCTTGACGGCCTCGATGCCACATTCAGACATTCACAAGCAGCTGCGCTACCACCATGTGAGCTTTTTGCCGCACCCCCGGCGGCATGATGTATGACACCACCGGTAAGATTGAATGAAGCTTCACATGCTTTGAACGGCATATGAAGTTTCACTGAAGACGTCTGGACACTGAGCTCTGCAAGGGCAGTCCTCTCTAGATCCTGGCATGCTCTCAGAAGACTTTATGCCAGTTCTACCGATTACAATACAGGGTCTCTTTGCCAATGTGCCCAGACGATTCTGTGAACACAAGTCATGGATAGTCAGGGTAGTCCAAGACCGGTTCTCCCTTCCCGTTTCCCTACACTAATATGCAGCAGAGGTGGAAAATGGAAGACGTTGGCAGCTTTACTGTCAGGCCATATCAAGGTTCCGACATGTTCCGACCTTCCGGCCTTTACTGACCTCTACTGCATTGCAGAGATACAATCACTCAGAACATTGGAACGGCCTTCGAATCATGCCTGAAGGCGAAGCTCTGCAGCAAGCTGCGTGAGTTCCTCACAGACATTGTCCGGGCATCTCCGCTTGGCCAACGAAAGCAAACTCAAAATATTGAGATGCTTCAGGCCTTTCTTTAACTTTTTCATGGCCTTTACATCCGACCGGGCTCCAACCATGCCTGCGAGCTGCGCTTCCTCCTCCAAGCGGTGGACGGCATCCCAGACGGTCGGCTTAGCGACACCGCCTGCCCTCGTCTTAAGCACATCGGATACGACCTGCAAGAAGTCGCCATACGGCAACTGATGGACCATGGCACGCTGCTCCCTGTTCATCTTGACCTCACGCAGCTGGCAGGAAATTCAAGCAACTGGGGAGCCTCAGCTAGCAATGCCTACCGGGCCTAGCGTCGGGTTGCTGCACATAGCTGGTTTTTAAGGGCTTGAAAATGCGTTTTGCCCGGCCTCCAGTGGATGTGGGAAGTGACAATAGTCGCAGGCGCTGCCATTCTGGCATTGACGGCGCTGTACAATGTGTACACAGGGGCGACGGCATGCAATGGGGTGGCCCAAGCTGCCAACGTTCACCTCTTCCGACGGGCCCTTAGGAGCATCTAAAGCCGCGTCGCTGGGCTCCTTACTTCCACTCGGCATCCGATTGGATGCACCATTGCCGCCACTGCAAGCAACGAGCCCGCGTTCATCCGTCAAGCCCTTCAAATAGTCGCGGCAGCGAGCGACCTCGACTTCTTCCGACAGTGCATCTTCACCCAAGTGGCTCAGGCGACCGAGACGTCGAGGCGGCGGCGTCAGCGCCCGTCGGTGCCGGACACCCTGAGCTACCTCTTCGCTGTCTGCGGCGTCTATGAAAGTGAAGCGGTAGTTCATTCGTTCGTTCGTGATTGTAATGATGAAGCGGTAGTTCAGCACCAGCGGCATGAAAGCAGTCGAAGCAGCTACAGCTCTGCACTGACAGGAGGAGCTATGCACAGCCGAAACAGCACCAAGGCAGGACCGAGCAGGAATGTTTGCTGCACGAGAGCATTTCACAATTCACCGACCAAGGCCCCAGAGACAGGGAACACATACATTGCATACAGACTACGATTCTGCACTAGCTGTCACTGGTGAACCTAATGCGACTACCACCAGACCCAAAGAACAATGTCGATACTGTACTTACAACATCACCCAGCGTGGTATAGCTGCTCTTCTCTCCGGCAAAATTGACGCAAATGCGAGGGAAAAGGCTGAGTGGTGCTGCAAAGGACACCTCGTCCCCTGTCGGTGCGGCGCAAGGCAGGCCGGCACAGCCTTCAGCCGTCTGCAAGGCTTAGGGTTGTAGTCGGAGTTTCCGAAACTAGGGGACCCTTTTGAATAGTAGGATCCTTATCATAAGGACCCCAAAACAAGGTACCCCTAATTCTCGGAAACTCCCGCAGATTCCGGGCCAGATTGTGAATCCAGCACTCTGCAGAGACATCAGGGGCTTTCAACTCTTATGTGATGTGCAAAAACTTGTAGTTCTCCTCAAAACTCAAAACACAAGCTGAGATGTCTTGAGGACTGAAATGTCTTAGCTTTCACTTGGATTCACATCCATATAAGTTCCAAGCACAAGGCCAGGCAACCCTTCGGCAGCTTATGTGTTTGGAGATCTACACAATGCCGGGAGATGGGAATCCTGAGCGTTGGGCAATTAACACCCAAAGCGAGCTCCGAGAAATAAAACCATGAACACGCTTGAAGATTGAAGAGCTATTACTAGCCTAGGTTCACCTACATTTTTCCTTGTCGCGATGCCGTCTCTTCTCATCTTGTCCTCGCACTCCAATTGCAAGGACAAGGCTCTTGCGAAGGACGGTATCTTTCTTACCTACCAGCAGCAACAGCCCCGCTGCCGGTGAAGACAAACATTGACGAGGAATTACGCCCTGCATCCGAGGAGCTGAAAGACTCCGGGTCGAGCTGTCCTTTGCTGCAGCTGAGCTGTGCCACGTCCGGCGCATAGCCCTGGCTCTGTCTTGTTTGGCTTCTTGGTCCCCTAGGCCCTACTAGGTGCATGTTGTACCGGGTTGGGAGTAGTCCACCAGTCAGCCTTTGTTAGATGCGCTTCCTAAGCCCGTGGCTCAGACCTTCGACTAAAGACACCGGATGCGCGGTGGCCGCGTGCCTGAAGGCAGCGTGTCGTGCAGGTTGTCCCGGACAGCAGGACCGAACCCTCCTTCAGCATCCAGAGATCAGCTGCACTTCCCGAAACGTGACTCTAAGTCCCAAGAAGACTTGGAGAACACGGCTGTCTATCCACGATTCCCCAGGATCGGCCACTCGTCTACACTTGTCAATCTTCTGGGGCAGGCTTGGGGACAACGTGATCATGTGTCGATTTCATGCAGTACTGTAGGCAGCAGAAGACACATGTCGAGAACTTAGAACTGTGGCACGCAGCCTCGCACGGTGGATCATAGGCGTTCGAGATGTTCCCGGGAACGGTGCAGGAAGCCTGAGCATGGGTGCTGAGGCAATACCTAAAGCTGCTCAGCATCGCCCTGTCCCGCGGCTGCCACTTGGGCACCCTCGACTCCGTGCCCCGAGTATACAAACTTCTGAAAACACACGACTATCGGACTGGGGCAAGGCAACAAAATCAGCACCAACGGAAGTGCAACGTGACCAGGAAACCAAACATCACCCGGCAACGGATCGCAGAGGTGCCGATGAAACGCTGCATTTCAAGACGAATATGCCGACCCTAAACCTCACACCGGCTGCAGCCACGCAGGCGCAAAGAAAACGCGCAAAGCGGGCCTCTCTGCACTCGAAAGTCTCTGGGATCAGGAAACCAAGCTGACACCTGAACACCGTTTGCACACTTCGTCCTAAGGATAGATGGACAGGTAGATATTTCGTTGCACGCACATTCAAACAGTACATAATCGCATCCGTCAAAGCTATGTACCTTTATGTAATCGTGGATGTACGTAACCTACAAATGACATATCTATGTACCTGCTTGTCTGTCTACCTGGCTAGCCAGCTATCTACCCGTCGTATGTATGCGCACATGTATGCACGTGCGCATCGATGGATATGGATGGCTGGCTGGTCGGCTGGCCAGCAGGCTGGCTGGCTGGCTGGCGGCTTGGCTGGCTGGCTGGATGGAAGGATGGATGCATGGATGGATGGACGGATGCGTGGACCTGCATGGATGGATGGTATGATGTGACAGTGTCACGTACGGTGGTGTCATGACCCAAACGTATCATAGTGCGCGTCTGTAGGTACGCATGTATTTTTGCAGGTAGGTATGCAAGTGTGCTTGTTTGTCTTTATGCAGGTTACAGTGTACGTGAAGGTAGGCATGTAGATAAGTGTGTATGTGTACGTATGTATGCAATGTAGGTAGGTAGGCACGTTCATGTATCTGTATATTACAGTGCAGCACAGTAACTATGTAACTATGTATGCATGTAGGTGCGTATGCTTCTGTCACAGCATTTATGCATCTACGTATGTATGTCGTGTAGGCACGTATACCGGGTATACCGCATTTACTTGGAACCTGAAAGACTTTACATCCCTATAGATCTCATGCCTGGCCTCAGCTCTGCAGGTATCGGCTGGTAGCCCTCGACCTCGAGTGGTTCAGGCTCTCACACTCTTGATTTCGACTCGTCGAGGGCGTGGAATCACACGGGTTTTAGGGTTTAGGGTCTGGAGATTCTCAGGGACTTGAGCGGTGTGGATCTGATCAGAGAGTTTAGGAATGTTTAGGAACCGCTCAATGTGATGTTTCGGCATGTTTATCCTTCCACGTCTAACGTCAGAGGCCACAGAGCCGAATCAGCAAACAAGGCTACCCTGCTGGCATAACTAACTTATCGACTCGGCACATTCTCGACCGAACTGGGCAAGCTGCCAAAGCCCAAGCTTGCGGAACCAAACAAGTCAGTTACACTTCCTTGTCTTGTGGAGCTAATGACAGCACTTCACATGCGCAACCTGGATAAGCTGATTCGCAACGGGGCTGCCCTATGGCTTTAAAGCTGAGTGCCCTTCGCAAGCCGCATTGCAGCTGGAGCGGTGCGGCACCATACTGCCGCCGTCGCAGGAACTGCAGTGGCACAGGCCAGTTTCCAGGTCGCAGGCTTCAACACATGCTGTACCCTCGATCGTCGGGATTATGTGAGGCATGTGCCAAGCTGCTCGGGACTGAAGGGCCGGCCGCTTTCCCGGGCTTCCCTCTGCCCTAGGGCAAGCTCGATTTAAGTTCCGCGGCTGTTGCCCCCTGGGGTCCGGGCATGTCTTGAGCATGAGTGATGCCAACCGGGGCCGTACAGTGGGGAAGGCACCTCCGCATGCGCAGGCCATGTGCCTCCAAAGCTTTGAAAGCCCTATCTCGGCCGCACAGCACTGTGGAGTCAGCTGGTGCGCCCAGCCAAGGAAAAGAAGATGTAAGCCCACACCCATGGCGTCAACAAAGCAAGCGTGTCAGCTGCTCCGATTTCGAACAGGTAATCAGGTACAAGCTGAGCACCGTCAGGACCGACACACTTTCACTAAGCTGTAATTGCGTGCCCCATCTTGGTCAAACTCTCATGGGGTGACGCATGCCCCGCATCGCACCCGCCAAATCGGAATTCTGGCTCGCCCTCCTCGCAGTTCACCTGGCACCACAGGAAGTGACTAAGTGGAGGGGCCCCGAATCCGAAGAACTTCACATGACCTAGTCTCCAACAAGGCGGGACCCTTAGTAAGGACCCCTAGGTATATACCTTCAATATAGCTATTATGTACCCATTATATAGCCCATTATAGGGTAGGGGTCCCCATTAAGGGTCCCTCCTTTTCCCCTTTGATAGTCGTTTCCCGAGCGCGAGCTGCGGAACTCGAAGCCTGAAGTTCTAAACCTTCTATCATTTGTAGGGTTAAGGGGCTTTCTGAAAAGGGTACTAGAAGGCCCTCTTTGGGGAGCACCCCTATCCTTAAGATTCGACCAAAACCATGAGGACTTTGCACTGCTTTCCAAAAAAGGTCGAGCCCCTGAGACGACAGTAGGGTATGTTCCTCTGAGAGGCTACATTGAAAGGCCACGTGCCACCGGGCCCTAAAGAAGCTTCAAAAAGCCGAAGTACTCCCTCACGTACCTGGACTGGTGCAGGTTTCTTCCGAACACCTGTCGTACTGTACCATCCCAACCCCAACCCCAAGTGCTCACTCCGAAGAAGCAGGAAAGAAGCACCTGTACACTCTGGCCGACTGGCACCGCGAAGCCCATAGCGCAGGCAACACTACCTGCAGCGCTTGAGTCGAGTGTGGCGAGGAGATCTACAATCTCCACCTAATGTCCAGAAGAACGGGAAAACTGATCCCCTGGATGATGCCAGGACCAATGTGGGGTGCCGCTCAGCAGGACTCTGTGGTCATGATGGCTGGTCTGACGCTTCACCGCCCTTAGACTCCTGCCTGTCGTGCGAATACATACCGAGATTGAACCACTTCTTGCTCGCTGCCCGTGGAGCAAGGAGACAAGATTTGATCTATGAGACAAGCCGAGTCGCCGCCGATATTAGCAAAGAAAACGAGCTGAAATCGCATAGGTAAATGGACAGCAAGGACGCATCAGCCTAACCTCAGCAAGCCGGAAGCTAATCTCGAGATGACCACCCCGCATCTGCAATGCATTGCTTCATCGACGATTCTCCAGATGACACCTGAATTATCGATTGAATTAGCCTGACACGGTTCATCCTGGATGTGTGTCTGCATCAAGCCGATAGGGCCGATAGGGGCTCAGGTGGCTCTGGCACATTTCAGCCGCCAGGTCGGGCCACAAACGGACAAGCTGTGCGGCGTACACTGATAAGTGGGCAGCGGTCCGGCAGCCGTGTTGCACCGAGAAACATCATACCCTGGCAAGGCAGCTAACGAATTTCTGGCCGGGCAAGTCGTTGACAAAGAGGGTGCATGCGCCGGCTGGTTGAGGCTCCAACTAATCCTTCGGGCCGTTCAGAACCCCCAATCGAAAACCTGCAGCGAAGTACCCCTGGTCCCGTGCTGCCAGTTGGGCCTGTAGTGTTGACCGGCAGACGACACCGAGCCTGCAAATGAGTGGCTCGCAGGGCTTCGAGAATCACCGAACTTGAAATCCCTGCGACCTCTTCTCATTGGCAGCAAGAAAGACTCGCGGTAGGTGCAAGCCACTCGACAAAGACGGACCCCAGAATGGAAACACTGAGGCAGGTCTGCTTTCAACGTATCTAGTACAGTACTCAAGAGCTGCTTCGCCCGAAAGCTTCTCAGCCAGAGGTCGGACGGCCCTTCAGTACTCAAAGTGGGTTGGGGATTTCTGCACCCCTCGCTGTGAAACTGCGGGTTTCAAGAGATTACACAGGCAGTGCTATGGCGTTTGGGCTCGTGGCAAGCATGCGCACACCTACGAAGGTCTTGCAGTCCTGATGGTGCTGACTCAGTGTAAAGAGTCATGTGCAGGCGCTGTCGGAAGCGGACATAGCTGCAGCCGAGGGCTTCATTTCGAGGCAAGGATGGGTGTCTTGGCATAGAGCTGTCCTCTCTTGCAGCACGATAGACATCCGGCGAAAACGAATGCACACCCCCAAAACTGTTGGAGAAGCCCCTGTTTACGAAGTCTCGCATGGTTCTGAACCGCCAGCTTCATACTTGTATGGGTGGAGCCTGGTTCACACTGTGTCCTCTGTGATTCTTGTCTCGTAAGCGGCTTGTGAATCAGTGCTCTCCCAAACCTCCACACATACCGTCTTGTCTCAGCACTTCCAGAACAGAATCATGAGGCCCGTAGCAGCCTCGGCACAGCCAGCAAGCTGGAAGCGACCTGATCGACTCTGCCAGTTACCGATGCTGCTTGAGATGATGCGGCTGGGGAGTGCGGCAGCGTTACGCGATGACGCCCGCGCTACCCATCTCTACCCCATTGCGGACAAATGTGTGGGCCATCTCTGGTCCTTGTATGTATACTGACACTGTCTTTAGAAGCGTTCTTGGGGGCACCCATCGATGTCATGATCCGGTTTGCATGGATAGATAACGATGGATAGATAGGTCGGTAGATCGAGATATAGATAGAATGGTAGATACGTAGATAGATAGACACATGGAGAGATAGGTATATGCTTTCTGTATAGGTATGTACATACACATAAGAGCGACGGCATTTGTTTGTTCTGTGAGTCCCAGGTCACGTCTCGTAATGTGAGGCTTGTGTCTCGTTTGCCTCCAAATATCCTTTTTTGGCAATTCATGGTGGCGTAAATGCCGTCATTACAACCTCAGATCTTTCACCTATGTGTTTGGCTAACACGGCTCGGGATGGGCTTTTTGTCGTACATCTCCGCAGACAAAGATGGGCCTTGAGCTTATGGCCACTCACTTCCCACCACCAAAAGGGCAGCAAGATCATATCAAATTGCTGACGTCGACCTGTGATGCTGGCTTTTGAAGGCCAGTTCGAACCAAAGCAAATTCCAAGCTCACTTCATACCGTCAATACATGTATTGTGATGGCCCGAGTGGGACCCGTACTGGAGACCAGTAGCTTGCAAGTACAGCAGAAATCAAGTAGTTGCGCATGTATCTATCTGTCAAACTATCTATCTGTCTATCTATGTATCTGCATATTTCTGTTATTTGAGAGTGCCCTAATTAGTTTCGAGCATTAGGGTGCGCTGTGCCTCAGTCTGCGGTATTTGTAAACTGCATGTACTTCCAATATGCCATACTGCACATCTTGTAACGTCCGTGAGAAATCGTCCGGGGTCTCGGTGGGTCCCAAAAGCTTGCCGTGACTTCTGGTGGAAAGCGGGCGGCAGTTGCCGCTATTCCCCGCCCCTACCCTATAATCGGCTATATAATGGGTATACAATAGCTATATTAAGGGTATATACCTAGGGGTCCTTCTTAAGGGTCCCTGCTTTTGAGATCTTGAAAGAAAGCCTCGGCCCGAGAACTTCGAAGGCGAGACTGAAGATACTCTCTGCGAGGAGATAGAAAAGGAGCATGCAGACCCAAAGACCAAACGCTCTGAAACCCACAAGGAAAGCCCTAAACCCTATATATGCCCTGAAGCCTAAAGCCAGGCTACGATCTCCGAACCCTGAAGCCCAAGGCCTTGATCCACAGAGCAGCTGGCCACTGCCTCGGTGATTGCGACTCCTTTCTGCAAACACCAACTCTCTCCAGAAAATTTCGTTCGCCTAAGCCTCGGGCCCCAGGAGGCGCTCCCTGGAATCCCATGCTTCCACCGCTTAGCTGAGGTCCACCCAGAGGGCTCCAAAGTAGTTCCTTTTTGGGGTTACCTTATAGGATTCTATATATGAACCCCAAAAGGGAACTACTATGGAGCCTCAGGGCAGAGACATGATTTCCGGAAGTAGCCGAGGTAGCCCCGACGTCTTTAGCGCTTAGAGCCCGGACCCTCGGGAAAGGGCGAGAACGCATCCTGCCCTAAACTCTGAACATCCACCGCAAGGCAGCCGAACAAAATCCACCAGCAAGGTACACAGTAATTAGAGTATATACATATGTACATATATATATATATATATGTATTATTATTATTATTATTACTATTATTCTTATTATAGTATGTCACATTATATTATGCTTGCAGGGAAAGCTGGGGACCGGAACGCCGTCTGCGCCGGAGCGGCAAACTACTGGGCAATCCTGCTGCCAAGAAAGTCTTACGCCTCATCGAACTAAACCACTCGAAATTCAAGCACGAGGGCATTGTGCGCATGGAGATGCGAAGTGAGTTTGACAGCTTCGCGATCTCGGAGGTGAATACCACCGTCAACATCATCAGCATTATCCTCAGCAGCGGCATCATCACAATCATCGTCACCACATTCGAGTTGGCATTTCCACCATCACCATCAACATCACCAGTATTATCATCATCACCAATCAACTTCTTCATCATCATCATCACCAGCATCACCATCACGGCCAGCTTCATCATCATCACCATGGCAATGGCAATCGTCATCTTCTTCTCACGCAGAATGCGAGAAAACAAAGTCCGAAGTCCACTAAAACATGCATATACAAAAAAGGACAAGGCTAGGTAACACAATGGTCCTCAGCGCGCAGTGGCCCAGCATCAGTTCCTCGAGGGACACGGAATGTCTTGCACTATGCTACACTCTGAGGTCTACGGACAATGATACATATTCGCAACACTGCAAACCATGCTCGACATACCTACAAAATTAAAGGTATGTCCTAACATCCGAAGAACATTGAAGAAGAGGTGCTCCTTGATGGCACGATAATGAACCGCAAAACCCTAAACCCCCTAAACCCGAAACGACTTTAACGTCTCATCGGTTCCGAGGAACGGCAAGCTGACGCATCGAAGCCCGCGGGCACCTGCTCTGGACTTCGGGGGCCCGGCTTGGGAAAACACGTAGAGCAGTTCTGCAAGCGCTCAACGCAAAATTGAGGTTTAGGGTTTAGGGGCACCCCGGGTTTAGGATGCTTCTGAAGGCCTATTTATATATAATCGTCTCCCCATAGCCTCGACAGTCTACAGAGCAATCCTGTGCGTCTCACAGATACGGCCTCGAACCTGCTGTCGGTGCGAGTCGGATCCAGCACGAGCAGCTTGCAAATCACAGCATTGACCCCAAACCTTGACCATTCCCACTTCATTGATAGACACTTGCCCGTCCAACCACCAAGCCCGTCTAAACTCCATCCCACGGCACCACATCTGGCAGGAAGCATGCCATGGCGCGACAGCCGCGCGGCAGAAATGTGCCACCCTGAGACAGGTTCGCGTGACTTCGACTGCTACATGCGTCCGGGGCACTGTTTGTGTCGGATGATGGGTTCAGCTGCTGTGGTCCGCATGAGTTCATACATACCCACAGCATCCCTGTTATTGCTCTTGTATGGTAGCATCTGTGCATAAAGAGGGAATGTCACTGTGTCACGAAATTCTTCGATGACAGATAGAGGATCGACAGCGGTTTTGGACAGACAGCCAAGTGCCATCCGGTGGCTAGGCCTCGGTCGCTCAGCAAAGAAGGTTGGAGAATAGGCAGATAGACGAAGAGCGGGAGAGAACAGGACAGATGAAAGAAGCACGGCGCAAGAGACAGAGAACCGATGCCAACTTCGCATGCCCTGTTCAGGGAACACTTGAGCATGAGCTTGAAGGCTAATTATTCGACGACAGTGAACACCACAAAGACAAGAAAGAATAACCATACGAAGCAACATGGCTGCCCTGCATTCCGCTCACGTTCAAGCCATGACACCTGCATGTGTTCATGCAATCGGATGCCTTTCGCGGAATTCAATGCCCAGTTTGAGCTTTGGGCCATTGCGCCGAGAGTGCTTTTTCGGGCGTAGGCTCAGTGGGAGCTCCGTTGGCAACCCATACAGCTCCTAGCTGGTATTGCCCTGAATCAGAGGAACCTGGACCTAAAGATAGAGACGTTCACATGCAAAACTTACGGCCTCCATCGCACAAACCACGGTGGGCCGTGCGATGCCTTCCACCGGCACGGCTTCCTCCGAGTCAGCTCTTGAAAGGGCTTACTGCAGTTCAGGTTTCGCGGGTGTGTGCTTTGCTGCAGCATTCGAGACGTTCGATGTTTGGGGCTTTCCACGATCTTAGACGTTCAGGCATCAGGGCGACGTTTTTGTGCCCTGGAGGCAGACACGCAGGCCGCCTGGCACCACCAACACTGAAGCTGCAGTCGTCAGCAATCTCCAGTCCAAGACTTCGGGAGGACAAAAGTTTTGACCTACTGGACCTTTCTGCCCTAAACCGTAAACCCTGATCTGAAGATCTCTTGCGCAGTGCCCGGAGATGCGATTTTTGGTGGCCTGGCGTGGAACCCTTTGCAGCGTCTTAAAGCTTCTCCTCCTCTAGTCTTCAGGAGGAGTAGCCGGCGGGTCCTTTTCGTTAGAGTTCGATGCTGGAATGGGGGCCTCTGTCCTACGGAAACAGTGATAGTTCGAATGATAATCTACGGAACATGCGATGATAAACCCTTGCGGTAGCTGCAACAACCTATCCTAAGCAGTGAAGTCCTGGTGGCATCCGAGGTCGCAGCGCGACGCCTCCACGCGTCCCGCACAGTTCGTGGTGTCCTCAACCACTCAATGTGGGAGTTTCCGAAAAGTAGGGGTACCTTATTTATTTTGGGTCCTTATAACGGGGAGCCTACTATTGAGGTACTATACTACGGTCCCCTATTTTCGAAAACTCCCATGTTTTAAAGGATTGCAGAGACAGGTCAGCTGGTTAGATGTGCGCAAGGTCTGGATGTCAAATGTCAGGTGTCCTGCTACCTCCAATGGAAACCAGGCCATGCGTCAGTTCAAGCTTAGTGTGTGGGAGCGTGATCAGGCCCGTTCGTGCCATAAATGTTGCTTCGATGGTCGATGTCAACATGCACCGACGTTGGTGGGAGGTATGAAAGAGTCTGCTGCACAACCCAAGTCATGGCCCCAAAATGGAAAGTCTCGTGCATGACCGCTGTTCGCAACCTCCACCAGAGATCACATGCGGCCTAAATCCAATCCTTCGACTTTCCGATTGAAGCTGACTGTCATAGGAACAGCTTAAGCATTCCCTGGCGGATGCTGCCAGGTCTCGTACAGGAGCAGGGTGCTCTCCGGAACCTCGCACTGGTAATCTGCAGCCAGCCTCTGCTCAAGAAATCGTCTTTGGCAGCTTCTACAGAGGATTGGGGTCCGTAGCTTTCCGGCACTTGGTGTATGAGTGGGAAGCCAAGATAAAGGCTCCGAGACGCGAGGTTGAACCTGCCTTACACTCCATCAACGACGCTGAGCCCTGCTTGGCAAGCCGTGCAGCAGGACACCATCGGAGAGAATGACGACAGCTTCCTTGTAGATCCCACCCAACCTTGCCTGAGTTGATGCTACTGTTTCGACAAACTGAAAGGGACCGCTCCATTTCTTTCAAAAGACCTACACGGTTTCGGCACAGGAGCCCGAATCTGTAGAATCCATGGTCATGCAAGTGTCCCGACTTCGCCTAGCTGCACTGGCCACCACAGCGGCACCCGGCTGCGAAACGGCAGGACCCAAGAGCAGCTCGGCGGCATCGCCGGCCTGCAGGTGTTCGGCTGCGGCGATACAACTGCAAACATCTGCAACAACTCCTTTCTTTGACTGTGCTGATTCTCACTCAGACCCGGAACCCATTCGCAAAAACAAGGGCCTAGCTCCGGCAGACATCTGCCAAACTCAAGTTGGACCCTGTATTTGGCGACACTCGTGTTAAGACCCACCGACCCACCTCTCTTCGTCGCCCCAAGCGCAGCAGCTCCTGATCAATTATCAGAATACGGTGTGGGCTAAATTCTGCCCTGACGAAGATTAGCAGTTATTCACGCCCTCTTGCCCCTTTGTTTGCGAAACGAACACAAGTATCTCAGGCTTGGGCACGGCTGCGCATATAGAAGTTCTGCACGTAGTGCATGGCCATTCGGGCAGCCCAAATATAGCGGCCTGAATAATTACCTGTACTATTTTTGGAGGGTTACTTATTATACGTATAGTATCATGGGCCCCCAAAAATATTCTAAGTATTAGGGCCCCTGTATTACCAGGCCGGATCGAAGAAGGATGTACCCAAGCCTTATCCGGTCCATGCCTCGAAGACCACAAGGAGAGCACCGCTTCCAAACTGTGCGAAGCGATTGGCTGCAGGAACCTGCGGAGCGCCGAATACAGAGTGAGGTTGTGTTCGAGTGTCGCGTTATGTCGCCTGTGAGGGTACGGCCCACCCCTACGAAATTCAACTCGGGGTTCTTTGTTCAAAGCCTAGAGATGCCTTCGGCCTGGAACAGAATTCACAACATCACGAGCCTTATATTGAGATATCTTTGTTTGCAAAGCGTTTGGGGCTAGCACGGCCTAGCGACCAAAGCACGTTGGCTGTGCAGGTATGACTAACGACGTCATCTGTCCTTTGCTATGATCGCCAGCGTCCTTTCCTCTATAGCATCCTCAAGAACACATTTTGCAAAAGGTCCCTGACCTTGACGTGGGCGACGACGTTACAATTACAACTGCACAGCTGCAGCTGCTTATATCTCCCAATGTTAACCCGGCATCAGGAAAAGCAACTGCGGAGCAACCGAAACCTCGCCGAGGAGTCCTGCGTCTGGGGCCCTCACCTGAAACGTCTCACCTTGCAGCACGCCGCTGGTGTCCAATCGACCCGCAAAAAGCTCGGCCCCCGTCGAAGGTGCCTCGGAGGCGTCGGTATGAGGCGTTCTAAGATCGAACTTCATCTCTTCAACGCCGCCACAGCCAAAGGTTGGAAACTCAATAGCACACATTTGTCGGGGCTTTTCCATGTATGTAGCATCTCAAAAGTGAACGAGGTCAGAGATGCTACTCTGCTACTCGTACTAGAGGCTTCTGTGCCAAATTTATCTTGGAAGCCTTGCACTTCGAGCTACACTCGCAGGTTTCAAAGCGCACTTCCTCGGTCTCCAAATGGTCCAAGGGCCGGCTAAGCTTCGGAAGTCGAGGAACAGTCAGCAGCAGGCCGAAGTCCCCAATGTTCCTTCGAGATGCGTAGCTGTGCCCATGTTCAGGGACATGATTCTCAAGGTGCGAGCGGTAACCTTTCGTGTCAAGAGTGTAACGTAGATGTCAATGATCCCGGCTCCGCAACATTCCGCATCCGCGCATACTCGTGATAATTCTTTACAGGCACGGAGCAGGGCCAGAATCAGGAGACTTATGACGCCTGAGCAAACTGAGTAGCCTTCAGCCCCTGAAGCCCCAAAAGATCCGAAATTTGCGGCCACTGGTCGTCAGCAGCGGCTCTCCCCAAAGGAGGCTGGCATGATGATCTGCATGTGTCTGGAAGCCTTAGATTTTAGTAGACCCTCACCGAGTTCGGGAATCGCTTATTGAAGGCTCCGGTCGAGCATACGAAGCTTAGCAGGGCTCGGATTCGGAAAGATTGGAGGGCACTGCTGAGATCAACCTCAGAGTAATATGGGGGCCTTAAGAAGAAGAATAGGGTTCTGGGGGTTCATTATACTACAACGAAAACAAGAACTCCCAAGATATTATTGGTGATAATTTTGGGCCCCGATATTAGACATCTGATGACCCAATCAGTCTGCCGTGGCCAGCTTCAGCCAAATGGCCCGTAACCGCCGTTTCGGTGTCCGACCACGAGACTTGAAAGCGTGACACCGCCAGCGACGATACATGCAAATCACCTCAAGGCCGGTTCCCCAGAAGGGTTAACAACAAGGCAGCTTGTCGTCTGCAGAGGTGTGGCCTACCAGACTACCGTGCTACACAGCCCTGCGATGCAGCATCCGGGTCAGGTCTCCATATCGCGCTCCAGCTGAGGACCCCGGCCACTAGGCGAAATGAAGAACATCTGGAAGCCCCTGCCTGACAAGGCGAGGGGTCGCTTCTAAATCCTGGCCTGAGTTCCGAAAGCGTATCGGCATATCCTTCCCCAATCCTGTGACTCGCAGCCTACAGTTCCATGGCCCCTTACCGTGTGTGCTGTAAGATCTGCTGTGTACAGCCCGAGCCCATTCACCTTTGCTAGTTCATGGTTGGGATAGGATTAAAAATGTACATTTGTATTCCTTATTAGTTCAAGTACCCATAAAAATGTAACATAATAAAAATGTAACATTTTAAAGATGTAACATAATAACAATGTAACATAATGAAAATGTAACATAATGTTATCCAACTATGAGAAAGTTTGGTGGCGCCTGGCAGGGAGATCAGCTGGCAGCTGGTGGCCTGATAAAGAGCGACAGAACATTGAGAACTTACAGAGGTATAAGATCCTCTTAAACCCAATAAGGGGAAATATAAAATGTCCCAAAGCCCTACCTAGTTACAGAGGTGGAAAGTCTCACCCAATGTTCCCATCCGAGGCTGCAGGCTGCCGTTGGAGTTCCGAATGCTGTCAGGTTCTATGTTCGCAGAACTAGGAGGGGCTTTTAAAGCCAAAATATTAGTAGGTAAGATCCTCTTAAGCCCAATAAGAGAAAATATAAAATGTCCCAAAGCCCTACCTAGAGAAGCCTTTGGGCCTTTGGATCCCTTACTTCAATGGTGATTGTACGAGTAAGAGATAGTTCCTTGTCTGCCATTGCTGAGGTCTCGTGCCGTGGCTGCCCGTGTTGCACGAAAGACGACCGCGATCACTCCTGGTCTTGCTCTTACAGGCACTGGCTGATATCGCTGCAATGGTCCCCAAGTGTCAAAGTTTGATCGTGTCGCGCCTCGGGCCCGTCAGCGCAGTCGACAATTTGAACGGTCATGTCCTGGGCGCGCTCGCGGTTTAAGGTCACAGCAGGTGCGCTGGACTTAGAATCAAGGGCGATGCCTGTGGGGAGAGGTGTTTCGCAAGCGATGAGCTTACACAGTCAACCTCATTGCAAAACGCACGAAAGCGCGACAACAATTAAATTTGCCCTATGCTGCAACTGCGCCAGCCTCTGAAAACCAACTTGCGCACATGTGCCTTGCAGCCGCAGCAAGCCTTCTACTTTTGATGCATCTTATGGCCATCTAGGGTGAGGCAGGATTGAATTCATAAGGAAGGATATCGAGGCCAAATCTGCATTATGATGATGTTCCTTGTTGTTTGTATTGCTGTTACAATGCTATTCTTCTCCTTCCTCTTATTCTTTTCATCATTGTTAATGATTCGCAGTGTAGAGGCAATTCAGCCTGGGGTCGGAGGCGACGTGGATCACGCAGGCGTAGAGGCTGGTCCCCATCAGCAGTGAGAGGACCAAGTTTTCCTGTCGCACGAAACCCGAAATCCCTGAACAGGATTCAATATCCTGTCAACCTACGCTGGCGTGGGCAACCAGGGTCAGTCTCGGTTTTGGGGGGTGTCCACAACAGTTTGTGCCCAAGCTTGATGTTAGAATACGCGCCCTAAAGGGGGTCCCTGACATGGAGAACTGATATAGAAGCCTTGATATACTGTAGTTATAATTTCAAACCACCAAAAAGTATTGGTTATTATTTAGGGTTTAGGGTCATAATTTCAAACCACCAAAAAGTATTGGTTATTATTTAGGGTTTAGGGTCATAATTTCAAACCACCAAAAGGTATTGGTAATTATTTAGGGTTTAGGGTGAAATTCCACCCAAAGGTATTGGCAATTATTTAGGCCCCTTTAAATTACCCTTGAGACCTGTGGCAGCGCTCCTCGCCAGACTCCTCGAGCTGGAGGCTGGAGGCATTTGCCTTGGGCGCTTGGTGGGAGCACTGCGGGCTGTAATACTATATATAGGGTCCTTATAGTATTGTACTATAAAGAATAACCATAATGATAATAATAATAATAATAATAATAATAATAATAATAAAGGAACCCGAGTAATAATATTGGTAATTATTGAAGCCCCTATATAGTACTCACCATCATCAGCATCAGCAGCATCACCATGTTATCCAACTACTATGTCCTACCACTACCGAAACCAAAAGCCAATGGAAGAACATGTCACTTGTCACTTGTCTTCATATGAAGAACCACTGCACCAAAGGTCTTGTGAGAGCTCGGAATAAACCTGGCATGCGTTCGAGCCACGGCAACGAAGGATGCCAAGGATGCCACCCGCGGTGCCTGGACGTCGAGTGACGCCAGGAACACCTGATACTACGAAAAGGAAGTATACAGACTGCTGGTATACTAGTAGCAACAAGCAGTACACTGGCCGGGCGATCTTGACTTTTGTGGTGGCGGCGGTGGCGGTGGTGGCGGTGCAGTGGTGGTGGCGGTGCTGATGACGGTGCTGCCGCTGCCGCAGCTGCTGCTGCTGCTGCTGGCGGCGGTGGCAGTGGCGATGGCCCTGGCGGCGCAGCAACTATAGCAGTGGTGATGGACACCATGATACGTGATCTTGATCATCGCCGTCATCTTAGCCTTTGAACTCCGGATTGAACGATGGGAGTTCCAGGCATCCCGAGAAGCAAATGAATTCGCAAGACCGGTTCCTGCAGTTTTGAAGACATCAAGGCGCTCCAAGCGTGTGACATGCTCGGGCATAATTAAGACATATTAAGACATATTTAAACTAGGCCTCTGCCCCTGCTACACACGACTTTTTTTGGGATTTGTCCGAACAAACTACAACTTTGCTTGTCTGTCAGTGTTTGCGTGGAGATCTGACTTGAAGTGGATATACAAAGCAGCATTGGCTTTCGTGCAGGGACGGAATGCCTCGGCTTCCTTGACGTAGGCAACCAGCCTCGTCAACTTGCAACTTTCATCTTGGTAGCTGCGGAGACGTGCCTATGGCTATAGGAAGTGACTGCTCACAGACTCGAAAAACGTCGTATGCTCCTGAGCAATGTTTTAAAGCGTGTGTTCACTTCAGAAGCGTTCGACTCCAGAACATAAAAACTCCTGTCTGTTTGAGAGTGGGCAGCCTCGGACATGTCTTTCTCGTACCGGCTCAAACCGCACTCCAGTCTTTGCTACAGTATGAGCCCGAACAGTGCTGACGAAGACAAAGACTCTGCTGCCGTGTCACGTAGCCGCGCCGAGAGACGCTAAAGCCTCCCCGGTTGAGTGACGGGCAGACAGAACGAAGAACGAAATGCAGAACCACAAAAAGGAAGCGACCAAAGGCGTTGTTCGAGCTGAGGTGCTGGGGCAGAAACGTCCACAGATGCAGCCACCGACAGCTCCTCGAAACCAGACTGAACGCAGGACAAGTTTGAGGCCCGGGGGGCGGCAGGCCCGAGGATTGGGGGAAGCGAGCGCCATAGCCTCATTACCGTCTGAGAAAGTACCCAGGCCCCGTGACTTCCAGCGCCGGCAAGGGTCCGCCACCACGGCAAGCTCGAGACTGGAGCCGTTGCGCTGGCCAAGGCTTATCTGCAAGTCCGCCTGGCAAAGAGCGGGATGAGCTGAGCAACTCAAAAGGTGAAGCTTTGCAGCACTGAGACGGGTAATATAGGGGCCTTAGCAAGTCAAATAGGGTTTGGGGGGTAGATCATGTTACAATTATAATAAGGAACCACCAAAATGGTGTAGGTAATTATGAAGGCCTTTATATTACCTTGACAACAGACTGTATAGTCACCAGATTCTGCATCGGAAGTATACTTTTGACTGGCGAATGCCCCAGTGCTCCTGTTTTCTATGCTGTGGATCTGCCAGGACTATAAGAGATTCCGTCTCACCCGGCGCAGGCCTGCAAACGCACCTTGAAGCTACGCAATGACGGCAGATATAAGACTATATGTACAGAAGTTCACCGTAAGAAGGACCCGCATTACAAACCCTGACTTGAAGGAACGAGCCTCATTGACACTCTCAGCTCCCCTCCAGCCTGCGTGTCTGACACGTTGTTCAAAGCTGCCTCGGGCACAATTGCAGTGGGGTGGCTGTTGGCGGTCTTGGGCTTCGCTCCCTGAAGCTTCAGCCAGGGGACATGGTGAGCAAAGACAAGCTGGCCGCTCTGAAGGCCAAGAAGTGACACCTCTGTGACGTGGCAGGGACATATCTCACAGACATGCCTAGGACTCCAGGAAGCTCGATCATGCGCCCGCGCTTCCCAAAAGTATCGCGACATCTCCGAGCCGGATATGCATCCGCTCACATGCAGCTAATCGTTCCCCGATGCGACACATCACAAACGCGGTCGGTAGCATGGGAGGGCTATGGAGGGCTTGCACTCATTCGGACTCCAACCGGCCTTGGAGGGATCGCGAAATTGAAGTGGAAGCCTGCACAGGTGTGTCCGTTTTGGGAGATGGGCTCGGGTAAAATCCGCAGGCGCCTTGCAGCACATGTGCCCTAAAAAAAATCGGGCCGTGTCGTACACCAAGTGGCTCTGTCACTGGAGCCTACGTCCCTGAAGGACCCAATACTATCGGACTTAAACTCGGGTACCGCAGGCCACGCGCGCTGCGCTCCGACAACCTCCCAGCCCCCGACGCTGGACTCTGACACCCTGTGCGACAAAAGCGGTATTTAAAAATTCGAGCACGTACACGAAGATGCTGCATTGTAGTTTTACCGCAAGCGTGAGAGAGGGTACCAATACCGAACAGGTTAATGCTGCCAGTGCACATGTTTGCTATCGCTTCACTAGAAAATCGCAGCAACTCTCGCATGTCTGCATGTCGTGCCCAACCATCTGTTTCTTCATTGTCATAACCGTTATCATCATCGCCACGAGTATGATAATTGCTGTCATCATCAGCATCATCACCATCACCATGATCATCATCATCGGCATCATTCCGGCCATCTTCTTTACCAGCAACATCGGGGTTATAACCACTGCCAACAATTCCAGCAAGGATGGCATCAAGATCTACGACCACATCATCACCGTCATCACTATCATCATCATCATCATCATCATCATCATCAAGGTCGTCATCATCATCATCCTCATCATCATCAACACACAACAACGGTTATAATGCGGATAGCAGAGGCATTAACAATATGAACAATAATAACAGCAGTAGCCGCAGTCGTCGTCGTAGCAGCAGCAGCGGCAGCAGCAGCAGCAGCTGCAGCAGCAGCAGCAGCAGTAGCAGCAGCAGTAGCAGTAGCAGTAGCAGTAGCAGCAGCAGTAGCAGCAGTAGCAGTAGTAGCGGTAGTAGCAGTAGTAGCAATAGTAGCGGTAGCAGTAGTAGTAGTAGTAGTAGTAGTAGTAGCAGCAGCAGCAGCAGCAGCAGCAGTAGTAACAGCAGTAGTATTTGTAGTAGAATTTGTAGTTGTAGTTGTAGTAGTAGTAGTAGTAGTAGCAGCAGCAGTAACAAATAGAGATCACAATAATCATGATAATAATGCTGATGCTAATAACAGTTCTCATAGCAATTCAAATAGTAACAATAACATTCCTCATGATGATGAAAACAATACTAATAGCCACGATCATGCCAGTGATAATCATAATAGCAAAACGAATACTGAATCCATGGTGATTAGAATCATAATAGCATTGAAATAAGATTCAATATTCATAATTCATAATTCCCAACAGAAGAAGTTATGTTCATAATACCCACCAGCAAGCGCGCCTCGGCCCCAGATGCACCAGGCCACTGAGCCCCAGGGCCACGCGCAGCAAAGCCACGAAAAGGCGCCATTTGGGCAGCATCTGGGGGTCATGTCAAGGAAATATTACAGGGATATTTATAGTTAGTTATAGATATAACTATAGTACCTATAGGTATGTATTGGGTTTTAGGGCTTAGGTTTTTATAAGGGTTTTGGGATTTAGTGTTTGAGGTTTAGGGCTTTGGGGGTTTAGGGTCATTTCAAGCCACTTTACGGGAACGTTTACAATTGGTTATCGTTATAAGTTATAGCTATAGTTGTGCAATAACACTCATTCATATATATATATATATATATATATGTATACTTATTTATTTATTTATTTGTTTACATATATCTATATATAGAGTTACATAAGTATATATGTATATACATATATGCATATTTGCTTTTGAGGATGTACTATGCTACACTGCCATCTACGCATTGTTATAAAGGGAACAGGCAGGGCTAGCGTCACTCATCATTCAGGCTTCAATATTAATCGGGCCGGTGCCGTCAGTAAAGGTGGAACGAGCATGAACCTTGACATGTTTGTTGGGCTAGGCGTCTTCGTGGATTCGGTCGGGGTGCTGGCGTTGCTGGCTCAGTTGGCAGAAGTTCTTCAACCGCAGTCTTAATGGCTGGCCGGCTTTGGGCGATGAGTAAGGGTACTGCAACGGTCCGGATCCCCTTGAGTGCTGGTACGCTTGTCAGATGGCTGCAGCCCGGCACGCAAGCCTAGGAGGAGTGAGATGCAAAGATCTGCATCTCCAAACGCTGCATACCCTGCTTCTGGCATCTTCGGACCAACTATTGTGCATGCGATGCCCAGACGGTGATATTATCATTGCTCCCGCATGTGTTTGCTTCTTGTTGCCATCGCAAGCTCCCTGCCTGAAGCTAATCAATGTGGGCAGATCGTTGTCCGCCAGTGACACTACCCCTCCGCTCTCAGCGCAGGCAGGCTCCGAAGCCCCCAGACTTTGCTGCACCTGAACGGGTTCGAGGCAGACTCCAAATCATTCCTGCTTCTTCCCTACAAACCTCGCGCGCTTGATCTATTACACCTTGGAGTAAATTTACGATCCTGTTTCACAACGGTATGCGTCTAAGAGGTGAGTACTGGTGACACGGAAGAGCCGCAAGCCGAAAAGCATCCCGATAAGGAGCTCTGCTTCTTTCGGCTCTCCGAGCTTCCAGATGCGAGATGCCTAGTCTGCCCCAAGCATTCTCCGGATGTCGTCTGAGCATTGAAACGAAAGCGTCACAAAAGGCATCGGCCTGCATGGGGCGAAGGTGACCAGACACGGAGTCAAGAAGTCCAGCCTCTGCCGCAGCTTCATGAAAGGCTGGATGTGTGCTTCGATGAAAGGAAGTGAAGCCTGCTTCCCCAAACTGAAAACCAAGGCGCCGAGCTCCCTGATTAGACCGCTACAGGCCGAGAGTCCGTTTACGGGTGCTTCTGCAGCAGAGTGACTTTTCGAAGACCCTTATTCCCGAAACCCAACAATTAGCACAGAGTCGGGAACGCATTTGAAACTTCGCCGGAAAAGACCGAGCACTGGACAAACCGCATACAACCAGGGGCTTTCAATGTAAAAGCCTGAACACCTAAGCATGAACTGCCCCCCTGCTGCCGACAGACAAATATGCGGCGTTATGGGATGATATCAGCGACTCTTGTTTCGTGGCTGTGACGTAGGCAAGCGGTTATCAGATAACATTCTGCATTCTAGTCGCAAGGGTGCAGAGTTCCGGAAAATGTCGAGACTTCCCAGCCTAGCCCGTAACCCCAGTCACGCCCCTGTTTTTCAGGCTCACAGGGGAAGCCGGTGAGGCGTTGCAGCAGCTTCCCAGTCCTGGGCAGCACTCTACGAAGGCTCGACGGATGTGCGGCCGTTCCGATCGGTGCAGGCGTGGAGAGACAAAGAAACTGAGGGAGCGAGGAGGCAACGGATGCACACACACACACACATACACACAGAGACGGGCACCTAGTAGGACAAGACAACACAAACAAACACACACACACACACGCACACGCGCGCTCGCACAACAACACAAACACGCACACACACACACACACACAGACACACACACACACACACACGCACACAAACACACAAAACAAAAAGAACGAACACACCGACACGCGCACCGACCAAATATGCAGAGATGCCCTCCATGCATACACACACGGACACACACACACACACACACACACACACACTTACACGAACGAACCATGTGGCTCAGATACGGATATTGATGAATGTGCGTATTTGCGAATATTCACGCACGAACTGCCGACAGAGTTCTGACTAAGGCTGGTGCTGCAAGTGCCGCAATTTTCATTTCGTGCTCGCTTAGCAGAAAGAAGGTCGATGAGGCAATCTCGGGGGTGAGTTTCATAGCTAGTGAATGTAGCGACATGGTGCGTTACAGGCTCCAAAACCATGTCCTAAATAGCATCTCCCGCAGGTGTACAGGCACCCACAAAGAGCCCTTCTTTGACTTGGGGCCACCTCGGCCAGCTGCCCCAAGGGTGGCCCGAAGAGCGAGTGGAATTGCGCCAGCCAGCAGCTGAGGAGCTCCTCCACCCGATCAGCGCCCCAGAGCTGCCGTGCCTGCAGGTCCCCGGGAAGGGCTCATTGTGGACATTTACAAACAAAGTACATAGATCATAGATCGAAAGGTCCCATGGGTCTTATGGGTCCGAGACTCCGCAGATAAGGAGCTGGAGCATGCAATTCATTTGAGGGGTGGCAGCTGGTGTATAGTTCACCCCAGGTGGTCCCCCGTGCGATGTGGGAGATTAGAACCACCTTCCGGGCACCAGTTTCAAACGACACCCGGAAACCGAAGGACCGTTGCTAAATCTCATGAACTGACCCTCGCTGGTATTTTTTTGCGATCGGTCTTGATGCGAATGACGCTGAACAAAGTGTGCTGATGACCTGCAACCAAGCGTGGCTGCAGCACTAGGTTGTCGTTGTGATGGAAGCCACAGTACATCCGTGGCACCATTTGAATTGATGGAGCCTGAGCACTTCATCTTTGCATGTAGGCATAGATAGAACAAGCTAGCTATGTACATGTGCTTGGATGGATGTATGCGTAGAAGTGGGCAGGGACCCCAGCCTCTTCCAGTGCATCCGGCATCTTTTCGCCACGCCAAGGCCGCACACCACGGCGGAGGACTGCCAGCGCCACCTGGCATCAACTGATCCGCTGGTCTTTAGGGTTGCAGAACTCCTCCGACATCTCATCGTGGAGCGCTTTTGTGTGCACGACGGGACTTGAAAGTGACAGGTAAGAGTTCGAAGGCTGCTTCGGTCATACTGTTTACTGGGCATTGCAGAGCACCATCTTCAGATCAGGGGCGAAAATGAGCATCGTATCACGGGCAGTAGATGCTCTTCCCAACAAACCTATGACCACATGCCGGCCGAACCTCCTGCCTCGATAGCGCTGGAAAGACGGCCTGCACTGCTCTCCGTCACAGCTACTCGCTGCACCGGTATCGTGAATCCTCAAAAAAACCGAGCGCCAGACTCCCATGCCTCGCGTCATGTTCCGAGTGATAAGATCCGCAGGCAGGAATGGCGGCAAAACAAGACCATCTTTAGCACCGTCGATATTCCCGAACACCAAACCCAATTGAGCACGGACTGGACACAGGGGCACACTGGCCTCCGGTACATCTTTGCATGCGAAAACGAGGCCGCATAGAGATGTCAGCGCCTTTGGCAGGGTGGTTTTCCATGTTGCGCAGCCCAGCAAGACATCAACCTGAAGATGCCCAGACAAAGAAGCACGATAGGTAGCGTGATGGTATTGTGCAACTCTAGGCCCAGACAGGAGACAAGAGCAAACGTTCCTCGATCCAAGTTTACCCCAGCAGCCAAGGCTGACAAACCTCAAAACCCGAGCCGAGGCAGACACAAGGGGTTGGGAAAGGACCAAGCTCGCCTGCTCCCCTGCGATGGTTGAGGCAAAGGAGATTGCAGTCGCTCCTGGTGTCGGATTGGCTTACGGTCGAGGCGTGATGCTCTTCGTCTTTGTAAATGTTTGTTGTGGTGCTTGAGTAATGCTGGAGGTTCAAGGCATGTCGTCCTTGGAAGTTCTGCAGGCCCCTAGCACGGCTTGGGAACTGCAAAGGCCGGAGGGGGTCGCGTTGACTCGAAGCTTAGCTTGTCCTCGAGGAAGACCAGCCAGCAGCGCCTCTCAGAGACTTGCTGACGTGTCGATTTGCAGGGGGGTTGAGTTTGAATTGCTTTCGGCAGCATGTGTTCACTTCAGCAGCTGCTCCATCGTCGCTCCGGCAGGCTCATGCCGTCCCGACACAGCGCGGAGACGGAAGGTCACTTTGGCCCCAGAGTCAACTTTGCACCAAGAGGTACAGGGCTTAGAGGAGGAGTTCTTGCTGATAAGTTGTTCCAACCGGGGTATGATGACTCTGAGGATTACAGGGACGAGAAGGGCGTGCGATTCATCAAGCCCCTGAGTCCATGTACTTTTGACTGCTACACCACCCAACACGGAACGAACACAGAGAGCGACGGCACCATCCCAAAACTTGCAAGCATGAGGACTGAATCTTGAACCCTTTTCGGAGGACGCATGAGGGCACCAAAACCATATCATGAGGTAGCAACCCTTTAAACCAGAAGCAACCCCGATGGCTCCCTCAAGACTCGCCCTTGCAGCCTGCGCTCCCCTGGCGCCTCGCGCGGCAGCGCCGGGCTGCGGGGCAGTTGAAGCCGACGGCCTCGGAAGGACGCTGACCAGGCGCTTGGTAGCCTGAGCCCAAGTAGGGGTTAGGATTAGGGGGATTTTTTGGGATATAGACCCTTTTGGTAAGGTCCCTTTTAAGAGAGCCAGCAGTGGTGTTAAGAAGGGTCTCCTTTAAGGGGTCTCCCTAACACTACCTAGGACCAAGGCCCAAGAAGGCTTTGGCGGATCTGAGGCTCCGCCGGGCTCAAGAACCGACGAAACTTTTCAGCATGCTGGGCTCAGGGTTTAGGGTTAGGGTTAGCTTGAAGTAGGTTATCTCAAAACACCTGAGGCTCCAGGACATGCTAAGAAGCATGCGTTCACCGTGCGCTAATGATGAAATGCAGCAGCAGAGCAGGGCCCTTTAGCAGTAGCAGTTGTAGTCGTCGTCGCAGTGCTACATGCAGTCATGTACTGAAGAAGAGCGTGAACCACAGCGAAACAACTAGGCAGAGCCGCCCGGCATCAGCTGCAGCGGTCTCGAGCATCTCCAGGTAGCCTAGTGCTGTTCCTCTCTACAACTCTAGGCCTGTTCCCGCACCTTTGTCACCTCAAGGAATGGTTCTTGCTGGGGCAGCATGGAGTCAGCTAGCCAACCCAGGAAATCGTACAGACCTCTGCTGACGATGATGGTGATCACCAAGAACCATAACTATCATACAAACAAATGCTAATATACTATTACCAAAATACTAAAAAACATAACTATCGCAACACGAAGATGACGCCGTGTAACCAGGGAACTCCCTGGCTCCTCTCACCTGGCTCTCACACTCCGGGTCCAGTCGCAGCTATGACTTCGGGCGCCAACTCCTGAATCCTGCTCCATCCTTACCACAACATACATACATGCATGCGTATACATATACATATATATATATATATATATAATTATATATATATAATTATATATATATATTTATATATATATATATATATATATGTATGTATGTATATATATATATACATGTATAGAATATACATATCTACATGTAACATGAATCTATACAAACGTTTCAGTAGTAGCCCAAGAAACGATGAACTATTGAAACCGCTGACCCGGTGCTGCCGAAGTCGAGGCTCGTGCGCTGGGTCTCGCTTCAGAGTCCTGGCCGCTACGCTACGGGACAGAGAGAACTACGGTTGATGATATAAATCCTGCCTTACCCACAATAAGGAATATGCCATAGCTCCCATAGTTTAGGGTCCTGAAGGCCCTGCATTACCCGCCATAATTCCCATAGTTTAGGGTCTTGAAGGATTTATCTCATCAACAGTATGGGACTGAGAGAACGGCTCTGAATTAAGCTATGATTGGCGTGGTTATTGCTTTTATCACTACGATTACTAGGGTTATGATTGTAGTGTAGGTATAGCTATTGTTAGAGTTCTTATGAAATAGGAAAAATGTCCCAGTCACGAGTCTGTCTGAATCATTCAGGAAGGCAACCCATTCACACCCTACGGAAAGATGTAAAAGTAAACACTTCCCGGGAGGCATGAGAACCCTACTAGTACCAGTTAGCACGCGTCAAGAAGTCGCAAAGACGAAGTCGCCACCACTTATGACGTACTCCCATGCATCCTTAGAGCTATCGTAGGAATCACATGAGAAGTGCAACTTATCAAAAGCTGCTGTTCATAGGCGTCTCTGGAGCAACTTGCACAAAAAACATGCGAGTTGCGAGCGGCCGGAGGATGGACAGCTTGAAGCCAAAACTGCCCAGACCCCCACCCGCCGTCCAAATTTCCTGGAGTTCAGGCGAATACTTTGGGGGGCCGAAATACTTAACAAAACTATTTCGGGGGTTCCTTGCTATAACTAGTGTATATTGTGCCCCAAAACCCTATGCCAATTATTCACGACCCTGTATCATTACAGCCTCTCAGCATTCCAGCCTCAGGAAGGCGCATCGACGGCCCGCAGGTGTAAAAGCTGCAACCATCTCCTGGCCGAGTTTCGGGCTGTATGCAAACGGGCTCTGTCTTTAGAAAGCATTAGGGACTGTAGGGATTCAGGCTTCCGGCTGGGACGCAGTGGAGTCGAGAACTCCCGAGGGCCCCTAAGAAGCGCGAAGGATCCAGGCGGTCTTAAGCACCCCGTGCCCGTGCTGAATCAAAAACATTGCTTCACAGAGATTTTGCAGGCCTGTAATGTCTTGGCCGTCGAGGTCTATGACACGGCCGCCCTCCACCCGCTGGTTCTGGCCCTCTGGAACACCCTCCTTAGCAGCTTACGCAATTGGGGGGAACCATAACCTACTTCCGGCTTTTGAGCACTTGCGGGCCGGGGAGTTTAGCAAGGATAAGTACAAGTGAAGCGAAACCGATGAAAAGCTGTGAGAGATCCGTCCGCAGGAGGGTGCTGGCTGCTGCAGCTCTTTCTTACTTTTGATGCTATTGTGATGTTCTCGGTAATCTAGGTCTTGTGACACCTGCGGCACTTGCTGTTGCATGTACTCTCCGACAGTACATGCATTCAGATTCTGCAACTTCGTCATCATCATCCGCCCTACTCAACTACTCAAGCCGCAAACGGTCAGGTATCTGCTCGAAAAACCCTCGTCGTGACGAAACGCTGCTGAGAAGAGTCAAAGCTCCAAGCTGTCTAGGACGCGGAGCTGCTCCTGGTGGGCGGCTGCTTAGGTGCAAGCTTTGCCGGCGAGTTCAGGGGCAAAGCTCTTCGCTGGGGACTTGCGCTTCCCCGAAAGCGGTGGGACTTACGACCCTGAACAGCGGCTGCCAGCGAGATTGCTCTGAATCAGTAGAACAGCTCGTTGACAAAAACGGACTGCCTATTGTGAAAGCGTCTGTGATGCTCGGAGCCCCGATGCAAAGGCCGTCAAGTCAAGACTCCTCGCTGAGCATGTGAACCACGCCGTAGATCCTGACGGTGTGGAGTGTTCAAAGCAGCTGCAAAGCTTAGAAGGTTTAAAACTCGAAGCACAAGCTGGAAGCCGGAAAGTTCCTGTGGCAAAGCCCTCTGAAAGCACACAGAGACACGCAAATTGAGAGAATGACAAGATCCCACCCCGGCCTGGCACCTTTGCAGGGGGCGGCCGACGCGAAGGCACCCTGTTGGCTGACCCAGACCCAGACTACCTAGACCCTAAACTTCTGTGTTGCGTGAAAAGATAGCAGCTCAGATGGCCCTACAGATGCACGTTTTTACATGATTCCCTTGACTGCTCTTGCTCTTCGTACGGATAATAACATACCTGGTATCGTGAGTATTATAATGTCTCGACGATAGAACTGTACTTCGCTGCTCTACATTCTCACATTTGAGTAACTACAGATTGGCAGATGCAGTATGTTTCTGCAGAAGGAGGGTGCCCGTGGCCTCGATCTGCGGCCAGTAGCCCCGTACATCGAAGCGCAGCTCCCAGTCCTTTTCGGGGGGCTCTCTGAAATCCTCCCCTTGAGTCCTCTTGGGTTTGAGGTCTGTCAAGGGCCTTTCGGGCCTTTTGGCTATTGTATCGGCTTTTCTGTGGTCGGGTGACCGACAGTAAACGAAGCTTCGGGCAGGGGTTGTTCCCAGCAATGCAACAGGAAGGTGGCTCGGCTTGCGTCCCCCGCGACGAGCGTTCATAGAATGTGCACCGTCATCCAGCTGACATTTTCGTCCAGCACCCCCTGCCTTCAGGCTCCGATAGACAGTGTGTGCAAACACAGACACACATACGCATATACAAACACATATTTACATACGGGCATGTCTATAACATACATAGATATATATAGAGGTATATAGGTAGATATAGTCATATCTCTGTCAATCTGTGTCTTATGTACACACACACACTCGTCATTCTACTGCTTCTCACGAGCGCATCATCGTCACCATCATCTTAAGAGTAACTAAGAATAATCATCATGATCATCATCATCATCATCATCATCTGAACCCTAATTCAGACAAAATCATCACGATCATCATCATGCGTGCCCCGAATTTCCCTGCGGCCGTCCTGCAGCGCAGCTGCGCGACTCGGCTCGGGCCCAGGTGCCCGGCCCAGGCGCAGAGTCAGCGCCGCAGGGGAGAGGTTGGCGCCGAAGGCGAAGTAGCGACGCATCGGCTTGGGGTTTAGGGTTTAGGGTTTAATTATTGGGATTTAGGGGTTTGAGGGGCAGGGGTTTAGGGTTTAGGGGTTTAGGGTTGATGGGAGGGACCTGGGCTTCGAGTTTAGGACGGGGGTCGGCTGCTCGAGTGGCATGGAGTTCTCTCGTGTGTGGCATCGAAGCTCGAGTCTTTCGCAGGTCTGTATGTGCATTCCGGCTTTCGACCGGACCAAGCCAATGCTGGACAATGAGTTGTAGGAACGTGTATCCGAACAGAACACTGCGGCCTTGCTGTCTCCGGTTGCGATCTTGATCCCATGTGTCAGGCAGGGTTCACATGATGCTCCTGGGCAGTCGGTCTGCTTATGAGACTCGAGTCTCCCGAGGTTCGCACAGGCTCCACTACCCTGCGCACTGGGTCCGATTATGTCCGTAAGCTGCTGATTCACGTTGATCTGCAATTTGAGTCACACCTGCTTGAATCCTCATGCACAGGAACAGTATGTAGTATATAATAGCAGATAACTCAGCACGTGCCACATGGGTCATAAGAGCCGGGCCCATCTGCGCAAGCATTGCGCGTGACCGCGCATTCCAATCCTGTCAAAGGCATTGTCGGATGATAGGAAAGGATCGGTCTGTCTATGCATTCTCCTACGGTTGCTGGTACCAGGTAAGGCGCATGCCAAAGATGGCGGGTCTGTGCGAAGGTCGTGGCTACAGGGGCTAAGGGTTAGGGTTAGGGTTTGTTTAGGCTCGGGGCTTTAACTTTCAACCCAAGCCTATGCTTCCTAAACATGGATCCAGTACACTGCACGCTGGCCGCTGGCCTGCCGGTCGCTTCTTTTTGGAGGCGCTTTGGCCTTGAACAGACTGTCGGAATATAATGGGATTCAAGAAGTATGTGCAAGCTTCTGTGTAGTGTAGGCATATGGGGTTGCAAGCTTGTGTCGCCACGAAGCCCAAGTATTTTCGGAACAAATCGAAGCCTGCAGGCTTAAATTTTGTACGCACATGAACGGCATCTCCACAGATCTCACGGAAAGAAGCCTCGGGAAACAACCGGGCAGAAAAGACCTAGCCCTATCCTTCTGAAACGAACTCCGGAACGTGCTGTCCTGTTTGACCACCCTGCAAGGTGATATGCAGCGAGTAGAAGGTTAGTAAGCCCAAGTACTGCCTAAAAGAAAATCCTACTGCAATTCTGCATTATCCGTGAACCTGAACACCTGAACAGACTTGCTGCTGAAATGCGCCATGTAGGCGACCCCTGCATGATGAGGTAAGACAATGTATCTCTTGCATTTCCTGCGATCTTTGCTTGGAAGTGTGATTTCGTGTATTGTATTGAGACATACTGCGTTGTGTTGTAGATGGCCCATCATATGTTGGCCATCTTCTGCCGCGCTGGACATCGCCTGAACAATGAAAGTGTGAGGCATCATACCCGTTACTTTCGATCTTGGAATGTCACCATGCTAGTTCAGCCTGACTCTACATCTTGCTGTGCCTGATTTTTGGTTCCGAATGCATTATCTTGTGCTCTGTACCATTTTGCAGAGTCCACCGTGTACAGGCCGCCTTTCCGACAGGTCGCTCTGGACGGGGTTTCGTGGCCTGCGCCGACACACCACAGGTGCAGGGCACCGCCACGACCAAAAAAACAACCACGACATCAAGAACCTGAAACAGAACAAGCATGAACAGAAACGAGAAGAATAATAGAGAACAACAAGAAGAAGAAGGGCAACAAAAACAAAGACAACAACAGCAGCAACGACTGTGGCCACAACAACAACGAGGACGACGACGACGCCAACAACACCAACACCAACCACCACCGAAATGACAACAACAACAACAACAACAACAACAACAACAACAACAACAACAACAACAACAACAACAACAACAACAACAACAACAACAACAACAACAACAACAAGACGACGACGACGACGACTGCGACGGAAACAACGACGACGACAAGACAAAGACGACGACGACGATCACGTCAACGACGACAGCGGAAAAGACAACGACAACACCAACACCAACGATGACACGAATAACAAGGACAGAAACAAGAAGCAAGAAAACGCGCAAGCAAGCAAGGAAGCAAGCAAGCAAGCGGAGAAGCGAATAACTAAGTGAAGGAGCATGCAATCAGTCACCAAATGAGTCCATCAAACAAACAAACAAACGAAGATCTGAACAACTAACCTATCAATCAAACAACAAACAAACAAACACAAGACCACAGCAGCAGCATCAGAAAAGGTGGCTGCTTAGAAGTGGCTTCCTCTATCCCCAAACGATCGCACCGAGTTGGGCCAACAACTTCCGGAAGCACAGCAAAGAAACACACAGCATGAGGAGAAACAAATGCACGAATCCGCCCCTCGCCATATTCGACAAAAACACTACCCTTTCTGAAATGCTGCTTCAATGGACCTCCTTGGCGGCCGCCGCTTCGGGCCCCGTGTTGGGGCCCGATGCCTCTCGCTCTTGAATGTTCTTAAAGATGCAAGTTGTTTTGCTAAGCAAGAAGCAATACATGGCGTCTTCTGTGGCCTCTATGACGCACTGAGATAGCATTTAGGATCCATGCTTTCAGAAAGGCCAGCAGCGGCTGTGCAAATATGCCTAAAGGGCCCTGGACTTTGCTCACTTGGCGTACAGGGCTTGGTATCGAGGTGAGGCATCTCCTTATGCTTGAGACTGTGTCAGTGCCCGTGCGCATGCACGGGTCTGCTCACTTCAGTCCGTAAGAAGGCTTTCTGGATTTGTCTATCCTGGAACCGAAAGTCTGAAAGACACCATGGCACAAGAACGTGAAATAATGCGAAACATTGAAAAGCGTGTTTCAAAGGGGCGTGCATCGGCCTGATCGACGGATCTGTCGCCGGGGGGTGCCTAGCAGCCAGAAACAATGCAGCTGGACAGTGCTGCTAGAACCAGACCCGCGTCTGCAAATGATGACTGTACTGGAACCAGAAACTTCTCCGCACGCATATGTTGCACAGAATATCCGCACAACACGGATCATAGCAAGCTTGTCGGGCACCATAGCAAGAATGTGCCACACGTTAGCAGATTCACAGAACTAAAATATCCTTTTTGCGCACCTTGCATTCAAAACCCTGAGCACTCGGACAGCGTCCTGATACCTCCTGTTCCGAAGCCCTGCGCGCCTGCTGAGCGACCATTTTGGCCCACTTTATCCAGATCCTTCCCAAACAGGAAAAGCTGAGCTCTTTGAAACCTCCGTCCAAAGTCTAAACATTGACCATGTCGAGCTGGAAGCCGTTGGCTTCGCCCTCAAGCATGCAACGGGAGCCTTCCGCTGCAGTTCCCAGCCTACAACTCAAGCTTGCAGTCTGCTGAAGCCTCGCAACCCGAAACTCCTCAATGGTTTAACGGCAAGACCCAAAACTCACACACCCACAGGCTGAGAAGCACATGAACGGCTCAAAATCCAGACGACTCCCCACGCCCTTTGCTTGGGCGACCGAGCTCTTTGGCTGTCGCCAGACGCCAAAGCGGCCTCTTTGCATGTTGTGCATGTACATATGTGTGTATGTGGAAATGTATGTATGTATGTACGTATGTATGTGAGTATGTATGTACCGTATGTAAGTACCGTATGTATGTACTTAGGTAGGCAGGTATGTATACAGTCCGACCGGTTGCGGCCAACAAACTTCCGATACTCTGTTGTAGTCATACCCAACCATAAGAATATGAAGGCGTCAAAGTCCTGCGCATCTGCAGTGACCTTTTCCGCGAACGCATCCACCCATCTGCGACTGCAACCCTGCACTCCGTGCAAAGGCTGCTAAAACCCTTCCGCTGTCATTTGGGCTTCGCCCAAGCGACTACTCCGCTCTGCGCTTGCGACCCTGCACTCCACGCCAGGACACGCTAAGCTGCAACGCGGGCAACACGATCTCGTCCTTCGAAAGAACTAGCTGTACACTTGTGAGCAGTTTGCTCACACAGAATTTGGTCATTCTAGCGACTCTAGCTACTCAGGTTGAGAAGTGTCTACAGAAGCGCGGCAATCGTTGCCACAAGGAGTACCTTGTCGCGCCTCTACACCTTGGTTTCTTCAGCGGCCTTGATCTCTGACGTCACCTCTTTAGGGCCATGAAACATGCCGCCGTGCTCCGCCCAGTAGTAGCAAGGGCTCAGCAATGCCCAGAACATTACGTACCCAGCGTCCACTTGGAAAGGAAGCAAGGGGTCATCGATCGGCCGGTAGAAGCAAAAGCCTGCAATGACAGCTCCCAAATTTCCTCCAGCCCCAACAAGGGCAGACACCACCGCTAGCTGTGGCCTGTTCATAAAAAGCACGATGCCGTAGCTGGTTCCCTGTGCCATCTGGACAAACAGGGAGAAGCACACAAGCACGGCCAAGGCCACGTGCCACGGCTGGGAATTGTCCACCAAGCCGAAGCAAAACAGGAAGATTGCTTCAAAGAAGAGGGACAAGAATTGCGCCCAGATGCGGCCGCGGAATCCCATGTACTTGAAGAGGATGACGCTGGTGATTCCACCCAAGGACCTGGCCAAGAGATTCATTCTTGAGTCGTTTCTAACTCTCAATCACTGAAGTGTGATTAGCCAACACCGGCCTGGCAAAGAGGTTCATAAGGCCAAATGCTCCTGCTAGGGCAGAGGCATCTGCCGCATCCATCTGGAAGTAGGTCCTGAAGTGCGTGGCCAACTGGTTGTTCATCGCCAGCTCCGTGCGAATACTTGGCCGACATGGCACCTGAAGATGCCATTGCCGTGATGAAGCGGGGTACGCCAGCTCCGTGCCGAAACAAGCCGAATACCTGGCTGGCAACAGATGCAGAAACCAGCGTAGGCAAAAAACACATAATCTATGCAGAAATCGCTGACTGGTTGCGATTAGGCCAGCAGTGCTGCATGGTCATGCGGGTTATTCGCTGGCGGAGCAAAAAGGCTAAAGCGATGCCTGTTTGCAGCTTGGCCACTGCATGATCATGACAAGCACTCGGAAGTCCGAGCACACTTCAACGTAGTCCCACAGGGATGGCTTCTTAGTCTTGCCCGTAACGGACACGTCGAACCTCTTTGCGGTGGGGGTATCCCAGCACAGCAGCTTCAAGCAGACCGCCGTGATGATAAACAGAACGGCAGGCACGATCATGGCCACTCGCCAGGCTGTGTCAGCTGCCATTCCCGAGCTCACCATGGGGTTGAAGAGGACGCTAATCATGAAGACCTGTGTGACACCACCGCCCAGATTTCCCCATCCGGCTGCTGTAGCGTTCACAGTTCCAATCACATTGGGTGCGAACATCAAGGAACACCAGAACTGGTTGGTCACGAAAGTGGCTCCTTCACAGTCACAGGGGCTGAGTGATTTAAACGGGACGCTGCAACACAGCTAAGAGAAACATGGTCCTGCGCATCCGATGAAGAAGCGAATCAGCGCGTAATTCCAGGGAGCGGAAATGGCCGCGGCCATGGCCACCCAGAACGCTCCGAAAGTGAGCAGGCTGGCTTATATATAGGTTGCTGCCCCAACCTGTCACAGGGTTAGGAGCAGTGGTACGCCCCCTGGTGGGGGCGAAAACAAGACAGTTGAATGCAGGCGTGAGCAAGCATGCACAAACACGAGAACTAGCCAGCTTCTTCAGCTGCCCAAGCTGCAGCTTCAACACCTCGCACATTCCAAGTGGATCTGTGACGGCGTTGCTTAACTTCAGCGCAACGAATGTTGCCAAGCATGAGCAGTCGGGCAGCAACATGAGCATCGCTTTCATCTGTGGGGAAAGACCATCCCAGACGACGAGCAAGAGACGATCGTGGAGGCGGCTGGCATCTGAACTCACTGAAGAAAGGGCATTGCCAAAACACGTGCTCAACGGAAGGAGTAACATGTGAAGAGCAAATAGCGCAGTGGTCACGCTGTGGACAGGCCGGGCACCAACGAGCATCAGTGCTGAGGCCACCAATCATGGTAGAGAGGGCATGACCGTCAACCTTGGCCGCGAGACGACGAAGGTAGGCAACCAGTGCCGGGGAGGCCCTGACGCGACATGAGCGCGCAAGGCGCGAGTCAATGCGGCCGGGATGACCGAGCCATTCTTTGAGGCGAGAAAGGCGCCATGCCTCACGAAGCTGATGCGCAGAACGGTTTTGCAAGGCAGGAGTGCTGCGCAGGTTCCAGGTGCAGTTACCACGCCCCCACTCGGCCCACGAGCGGCGTTTGGGAGTCCACCCCCAGGCAGACATACAAGAGTTTAGACCTTGGGCAAGGGCAGAATCTTTAACGTTGAAAACAAGCGGGTTGCGGCCTTGGGCCACAAGGAGCGCGGACCATCGACCCATGGCTTTCAGAAGCCTTTGACATGCGAGGAAGGCCAAGTCCGAGTGATGGCCAAGGAGCAAGAGCTGCTGCAAGTCACGAGAACTGCGATCAAACTTTTGTGCACAACCCTTGACAGCCAGGCGGAAGGCATTTCTGTACGTGTCGCCTTCTTTCGTTGTGGGGGTTCGGCCGCCAAACAGAACCCCCCAGGCAGAGATGGCTGAGAAGGTCATGGTGGCTAGCCCAGCCTTTTTCTTCAGGGACAAGGGCAGCACAGCCAGGCGATGAGCAACACGCTCGGCTTTAGCTGCACGCTTTTTATCAGTGTCGGAAGGGGGACGGGAACTGACACCTACGGTAGCACCTAAGACCTCGGCAGAACATTTCGCCTCGATACCAGCCTGTTGGAATGCCGTCAAGGCGGCAGGCGACCGGGCCAGCATCTGGGTCTTGCCCGGATGGGTACGGAGGCGAGTGCATGACTCCAGCTCTTGCCAGGTCAGTTCGGCCGTTAGGAGGTCGTTCAAGCTGCGTGCCACAAGCGTTCTGTCGTCCAAATAGACAAGAGAGACAGCGTTTGTCACGCTCTGCACATGCCGTATCGGGAGCGCAAGGACAACGGCAAGGGCACATGGCGAGAAGGGGTCTCCCTGAGGTAACCCTACTTGAATGTTTGGGGTGTTGCTTAATGGTTGCATGGCTTACTAAACCACATGTATCCCATATCTAATGTGCATATAACACATACTTAAGTGCTAACAAAAAACGTATCCCCCTCAGGGGTTCTAGCAAAGTCGCTAATTATGTTTAAATTTTCAATAATTGCAACTCTGACTATCTATTTACATAAACGGTTATTGTAATTTTCCTAACCCCTTTAACTTGGAAAACCTATATCGGAAAACACTATCTTGCTGCTTTGTTTTTGTTGTTTTGTGGTTTCAGGAATTGCAATTATTTCCTTGCTGTTACCTTTTTTTCCTGTGTGAACTGATAGATTTGTGGGGTCACGGTTGCATATTGTGCGGTTGCATTAGCCGACATCTGGCTGCATGTTGCATGACATGGTATGTTTCGGTTGCTTGCATCTTTGCTTTGTAGCCTGTGGGCTGCATGGTTGGCATGATACATGCGGGCCATTTGGGCTGCATGGTTGCTTGATTGTTCTTTAGCCTACATGGGCTACATGAGATTGATATTCGAGCCCATGCGGGCTGCACGACTTGCATATACATGAGAGCCATGTTGGCTGCATGATTGCTTGATTGTTCTTTTAGCTTGCAAGGCTATACATAAGATTGATGTTCGAGCCCATGTGGGCTGCATGTCTTGCATCTGCATGAGAGCTATGTTGGCTGCATGCATGGAGTCCACGGGCTGCATGCATATATGATGTGCTGCTTAGATATGAATGGTGCATGCAGTGTTTGGTTGGAAAGCAGTTCAGATAGCAAGCCGTATATACACTTGCGGCCTACCATGGCATTGACCCCGGCAGTCATTGCAGAAGCTGACCGTATCATGGCATCGGATGCGGCAGTGAACCTCAAGGTGTTGGAGCTTAATGATTTGTGGCTGAGCAACGGGCTCGCCTCCAAGCAAGTCCATGGACCAGAGAGGTTTTGCATACATCCCCAAAATCGGGGAGGTGCCATGATGAATAGCTTTGATATGGTGACAAAGGGGAGACGATGATGAGCCAAGGCCTGCGGATTGATTTGCTCGAAACAAGTGCAGTAGCATTCTGCATGTCCAGCAATGCAGTGAAACGTGACAAGCAACTTGCAGCAAATCGGAAATGCTGTTCCCAAGCCAAAGGGGTGATGCCCGAAGTGGTTGGCGACGAATTGTTTCTCACGGTTGGCTCATCTCACTCCACGTGCTATTTGAAATCCATGAAGCAGGGCCTTGTGAAGAATGCTTCTTCGTTCATGAAAAAGGGTCAGCCCGTCGAAAGGTGCCTGAGCCAAGGATGGACTTGGCTGATTCTTGCTGATACCTTGGAAGACCAATTCCCGAGTCTCCCGTTGCTGTACTCGTCTGTGCTCAATAGCAACAACTCGGTGTGTGTGGCTTCGACAGAGATCGAGTGCCTTGCCACGATCAGCAATTGCTTGAAGTTGGGCAAGACGGTTGCAGAAGCCACTGCAGCGACGATGCAAGGGGAACCGGCTTGCAAAGAGTACTTGGAGACGGTGGCA